AGAAATTCCCTAACAGTTAGAACAATTAATCAGTGGAACAATTTGCATCCAGAGGTTATGGGTGCTCCAACATTGGAGGTTTTTAAGAAATCGGACAACCATTTGTCTGAAATGGTCGAGCAGGGGTTGGACTAGAAGACCTCCAAGGTCTCTTCCAACTATGCAGTGTTAGAATGCAGTACTGCAGGCTACTTCTGCTGACTGACAGTTCGGGGGTTCAAATCTCACCAGCTCTCCCCCCAACACATACCTATTTCCTTCGCATCTGGCTAGTAGTTTTGTTTATCCCAAATGACTGACTGCGTAGTTAGCAGGGAGAGTTTGCACAAATATTTGTGCAACTAATTAGGTTCTGTTCTACCTTTTCTGCATAGATATACTCGTGGTTGACTCAGCCTTGCATCTTTCCAAGGTGGATTAAATAACGACCCAGATTGTTGGGGGCAATAGGCTGACTCTGCAAACCTCTTAGAGAGGGCTGTAAAACACTGGGAAGCAGTATATAAATAAATGCAATTGCTATGTTCATTTTGGGCATTTGGCAACTGGTCCAAATCTTTACATCCATTTGCACAGGGGTGAAATCCACTTATCTTTCCTACCAGTTCGGTTGCAATGTGAGCGTGTGTGTGTGTGTGTAGCACACGCCACCTCCATGCATGCGCAGAACTTTCCGTGCACGCGCAGAACGTCAAAATGACATTCAGGCGGATGGGCGGAGCCTACTACCGAGCGCCCCTGTAAAAGTAAGCAAATAGCAAGGAGGGAATCCACTGTGCCATGTGATTTGGACTAGCTAGAAAGCAGGAAATCCTGTTTCCTAGCTAATATAAATCGCACGTCACAGCTGATCGTCGGAAAAACTGGTTCGCCCGAACCAGTGGCACTTTTTTTTTTTTACTCCCGGTTCGGTGAAGCAGTAACCTTTTTACTACTGGTTTGGGTGAACCGGTCCAAACCAGTAGTATTTCACCCCTGCATTTGCCGTTTCCCATGGCCACATGATTGCAATTGTGACATTTTTAACAGTTTCTGGTATTCTAGTTTTCAGCAAAAAAAAAAACATTGAGAAAAAAATGATTCACATAACAACAGTGGTATTCGTTTAACAATCGCCACCCAAAAAAATATGATATGTCCAATCGAGTCACCTGACGCCTTGAGTTACAACCACAATCCTGGGCCCAGTTATGGTCACAATTCAAGGACTACCTGTATGTAGTTTTGTGTCTATGTGCCAATCCATTGGCAGAATATGGAGCAATTGCTAGGATTTTGGTGACTCCCCAGCCGTTTTCTTTTTAGCTGGCCATTTTCCTGCCTGCCAAGTAGCTTACATAAATGAGATGAATATTTGAAAACTTCTTGTTATGCTGCCCACTTGGGGATATATGGCTGCTCTCTTGCATAAGGTGACCAGATTTTCAGATTGGAAAAGAGGGACACCCTTTACCGGGGGNAGGGAGGAAGGAGGGAAAGGGAGAAAAAAAAGAAAAAGAAAGAAGGAAACTTATTTAGCAAAGGAGAAAAACAAATGCTGTCGCTTTAAATCAGTACTGAGCATACCTGGCTGTGGAATTCTGGGAGTTGAAGTCCACAAGTTTAAAAAAATTGCTGCCTCACCAGCCATAAACCTCACCACAAGTGGCTAGAAAGGTTGTAAAATGGGGCAAAGTTCACTGAACAATTGTCTCACTTAGCAACATAAATGTTGGGCTCAATTGCGACTGTAACTCAGGGGCTACCTCTATTCCACTGATCTCCAGGTATTTATTGCAAATCCTCCTGATCATTGTTCCTCTTTCAGGAAAAACAGCACATATCTACCAGCGGTGGGATTCATGTACCTTCCCTACCAGTCTGAAAATGTGAGCACATGCACTGCGTATCCACATGCACACGTGTACCACCTTCTGCGCATGCACAATGCTCATGCATTGCATCAGGGGTAGGGGGTAGAGCCTCCTGCAGCCGCCGCTACCGGTTCGCCCGAATCGGGGAAAACTGGCTGAATACCACTTCTGGTATCTACATTCATTGACTAATTTTGATCACATCTCCTATTAGTTGGGTTCATTTTTCTTTTTTTAAAGCCAACTCAGCATGCCACCTACTGCAGTTTTCTAGGCAACAAAACTTGATAAAGTTTAACTGGACCCTCAGTCTGTTTTCCAGGCATCTAGCCAGCTTCCAATCTCGGGGTTTCTCGGAGAACATCATTACGTGAGAATCTGTCCATTTCTAGCACTCTTTTAAATCAATACTCTGCGCAGGGAAACTGTCACTGTTTCCATTATAAATGGCCATCTTCTCCGCGCTCGGGATCGGCTGCGGTGTGTAAACATTCACTTGCAGAGTTTAATGTGATTGCTGTTAATCCTTTGATTACCCCGTTTATGTCTCACCGTGACAAATAACAAAGGGTTCCATTTGCAATTGCCGGGTGTGTAAATTGAGATGAGTGTTTTAAAGCCACTCTGCTGCGGGGAGGAAGAAAACAAACATAAAGGATGGGAAATTCCAGATGATATTCTCCAGTTCTCCCCCCTCTCCCACCCAACACGCACCTATTTCCTTCACATCTGGCTAACCTTCACATCTGTCTAGTAGTTTTGTTTATCCCAAATGACTGACTGCGTAGTTAGCAGGGAGAGTTTGCACAAATATTTGTGCAACGAATTAGGTTCTGTTTTTCTGCATAGATATACTTTCCACATGGTTTTGTTTCAGGAGGCCAAAAAAAGAAGTCTGCACTGTTTTCTTAAATATACAGGTAGTCCTCATCTTATGACTGATTGCTTAAGATATATTTGAAGTTACAATGGACCCCTCTACCCCTAAAGTTACTTATAACCTCTTTCTAAAGATGCCACTCTTTAGTTGCATCCACCCATTGCAGTCATGTGATTGCATTTTGGGGGTTATGACAAAGAGGAAGGAGTCAACCTGTTCTCCAGAGCACTTGAAGGCAGGATGTGAAACAATGGGTGGAACCTAATCAAGGAAAGATAGCAATAGCAATAGCAGTAGACTTATATACCGCTTCATAGGCCTTTCAGGCCTCTCTAAGCGGTTTACAGAGAGTCAGCATATTGCCCNCTGTGGGGGCGATATGCTGACTCTGTAAACCGCTTAGAGAGGGCTGAAAGCCCTATGAAGCGGTATATAAGTCTAACTGCTATTGCTATTTTACACACTTATGACCATTGCAGCATCTCCATGGCCATGTGAACAACATTCGGAGGCAACATTCGGAGGCAACTGGTTTGTATTCGGGGGTGAAATCCTCCCAGTTTGGCCTGGTTTGGCTGAACTGGTAGGGACTAATTGTCCCTGGTTCTGCAAACCAGTAGTAAAAAAAAAAAAAGCTTCTGAGGATCGCACGACTCAACTGCGAGCTATGCGATCATTGGAAGTTTTTTCTGGCCTATTCGCCAGAACCGGCAGGGGGAAAATGCTTTAAAAAGCGGTGGGGGAGTGCTGCGAAAGAAAGAGAGAAAGAGAGAAGGGGAAAGGGAGGGAAACAGAAGGGAGGAAAGACCACAAACCTGGCACTAGATGCAGCTTCAGAGAATACCTTGAAAGAGCACAGTAATCCAGGGCTGGAAGGGACCTGGATGGAGGTCATCTAGTCCAACCCTCTGCTCCAGTAGAACATTGTGAAAATGAGCTTCTGTCTTTTGGCACCCCAGTCATATGACTACATAGCCATGCCTACCCAGTCACATGACACACACACCCCAACAAGCCACGCCCACAGAACTGGTAGGATTTTTTTTAGATTTCACCACTGTTCGTATTTATGGTGGTTCTGTAGAGTTCTGGAGTCATATGATCACTTCTTTGCCACTTTCTGACTAGCAAACTCAATAAGGAAGCCAGGTTCACTTAACAACTGTGTTATTAAGTGAGCAATATTTCTGTTGGGGATTTTACCTGAAACCTATAGTAAAGGGAACACATATTTAATTATTCATGTATTAACTGCAGCTAGAATTGTATTTTCACAACATTGGAAAAGTGAAGAGATCCCTACTGATGAAAAGGTGATTAGCAAAATATTAGAATGTGCAAAAATGAACAGATTAACGCTGGCCATGAAAGAGAAAGAACAAACTGAATATTATATGATATGGGGATTATTTTATCAATGGTTAGAGAATAAAAATGGAAGTTGGAAATAAAAGGAGGGGATTAAAGAGAAGTAGAAAATAGGATAAGATAGAGATATAAACAATACAATAATTGTTAGTAAGATGAGGAGGAGGATTATTATAATGTTATTATTACGCTTTTATCAGAAGATGCCTTAAGAGGAAAAAATGAATAGGTTTACTATGTTCAACTGTTTAATATACTATGATTCTAAGATTAGGGAATTAATATCAATGTGAATGATGTTGTAAATTTTGTCGGTTATTGCACAGAGATATTTATACTCGTACAACAGGGACGTGCAGTCAGGAGGAGGCAAAGGAGGCAGGGGAGGCAGAGTCTCACCACTGTCATCATGAAAAGGAAAAAAATGTAAAAGGAAAAAGGCAAGAGCTGAGGTCAGGCTGAGCTAGTTGCTGCCAGAGTCACAGTGGATGACTCTGCTTAGTGCTTAACTGTTTAAAAAAGCCTCTAAAAAGTGCCCTCTACAGGAGAAGGCAGGAGAACGACTTTAGGCATTTTATGATCAT